ATTGCAAGGCTATGATAGCAAAAGCACAGGCCACAAGAACAAAAAAGATAAACTGGAGTGCTTCAAAATCAAAAACTTCTGTGCATCAAAAGATACTACCAAGTGTGTGAAAAGCTAACCTAAGAATAGAAGGAAATACTTGCAAATCATGTATCTGATAAGGGATTAATATCTAGAATATTTAAAGAACTCCTGAAACTCAATAACAAAAAGCAAACAGCTTAATTAAAAACTGTACATAAGGGGCACCTGGGTGGCTCAGATGGTTTAGCGTCTGCCTTCGGCTCAGGTCATGATCTCAGGGTCCTGGGATCGAGCCCCGCATCGGGCTCTCTGCTCCTTGGGAGCCTGCTTCTCCCTCTGCTTCTCTCTCTCTCTGTCTCTCATGAATAAACAAATAAATAAAATCTTAAAAAAAAAAAAAACTGTACATAATAATAAAAAAAAAACTAAGCAAAGTACTTTCTCTGAGAAAGATATACAAATTTCTAACAAGCATATGAAAAGATGCTTAAAATTATTAATCATTAGGGAAATGAAAATCAAAACCACAATGAGATACTAGTTCACATCTACTAGAATGGCTATAATTTTTTTGTAGGAGGTGGAAAATAACAAGTGTTGGTGAGGATGTGAAGAGATTGGAACTCTTGCATTGCTGGTGGGAGTATAAAAGGCACAGCCTCTGTGGAAAACAGTTTGGCAGTTTCTCAGAGAGTTAAACACAACTACCATATGACCCAACAATTCTACTCCTACATAAATATCCAAAAGAATTGAAAGCAAGGACTCAGATATTTGTATATCAACATTCACAGCAGTATTATTCACAATGACCAAAATGTGGAAACAACCCAAGTGTCCATCAACAGATGAATTGATAAACAAACTATCTATCTATCCATATAATGTATTATACTATATATATATATATATATATAGACATATACACACAGACATAGACATATATACACAATGGGATATTATTCAGCCATAAAAAAGAATGAACTTTTGATCCATATTGCAATATGGATGGACCTTGAAAACATTATACATAAAGAAATAAGCCAGACATAGAAAAACAAATATTGTATGATTTCACTTACATGAAGTATCTAGAATAGGCAAATTCATAGAGAAAGATAATAGAATAGAGGTTACTAGGGGACAGGGAGAGTTATCATTTAATGGACACAAAGTTTCCATTGTAGATGATCAAAAGTTTTGTGTATAGATAATGGTAATGCTTACACAACAGTGCAAATGTATTAATGTCACTGAATTGTACTTTTATAAATGGTTAAAATATTAAGTATTATGTATATGTATATGTGTGTGTGTGTGTGTGTGTGTGTGTATATATATATATATTTCACCAGAATTTTTTTCTAAAAGAAGCACTAGGTATACTTGTAAAATTGTTTTTGGTCATTAGGCAGAGGGGTAATATATCTCAGTCCAATGCTCAGTTTTTGGACGTTTCTAATGGATAAGGATGTAGTTTAATATTGTTAAATTTACTTAGTTTCATAGTCAGACTTTACCCCCAAACCTAGTGCCTTAGAATTTTCAAAGAACTCACATACATTGTAACAAATTTAATCTTCACACCCATACTGTGCAGTGGATGTATTTTTTAGATGACAAAAATGTGAGGCTCAGCAAGGCTAAATGACATGTTCAGGTAAGAATTAAATAAAATAATCCATGTAAAATATTTAGCACAGTTTTTGGCACGGAGCAACTTATTCAGGAGGCTTTAGCTATTATATTATAATAACAAGTGGGTGGAAAGCCAGGGGCCGGCAGAGATCCTATTCCCAGAATCTCCTAGGAAGCCAAGGGGGCTGCTTCAGCAGCAATTATTTTAAAAATCCAAACTACACAAAGTCCATGGGTCAGCTGCACCATCCCTGGCGTGTGAAGGAGGCTATCCATTATTTTTATTTTATAGCCAATTCAGTCCTGTCTGATATACACATTGCCAGCTAAATAGGCTTAATCTTTTAATGTTCTCAAATATAGGTGCTTAAACGCATTTATCTTGCCCCAGATTGCTGCATCTCTGTTTCATGATGTGAAAGAGCAAAGCAACCAAAATTCTGTGGTGTATGTTCTGGGCCCTGATGAGTTTTTCTAGAATGATGTGTCTAATTATATAACCTGTTTAAAAAAAAAATTAAGGGTTAAAACTCAATAAAGCTATGTCTACAGATATTAATCTGATAGATATTCCCCCTGAAACTGCACAATCCCTGTAGGCCACATGGCTTCTCAACAACCCACCGAAGTTTGGTGTTTGCTGCATACCAGGACCCTGATATGCCCAGAGCAATGTGTAAAATTATCTGAAGGGAAGAAGGTCCGTAGCCCTAAGTATATTTGTTTAGACTATCCAATAATGGATTCAGAAACAGTCAACTTTGACAGTGAACATCACCCCCAGATAGCCCGTGCTTTCTAGAAATCAAGACAATTATTCAATCAGCTGAAGGCACAAACACCGTAGGATTGTTTTTAGGTTATGGGAAGGTGGAAAAGAGCAAAAAGAGAGCCATTTATTTTGTAATTTATAAAGACCAAGACAGTGATTGCTCATCCTCTTGTCCAAGGGACCAAAATATAAAGTTATGCCACCGTTTCATGTCTTTCAAATGTGACAGAACTACTCTCTTCTAAAAATTTAATCACTGTTTCACATGTATTTCAAGTGAAATTATCATAGCTCAGTTTGGAGCGCACAGTTTTCCTAGTCCAGACTCCAGTCCAACACGACTCTACTCCCCCAGTTCACGTGAAGGACAAAAACACTGCGTAGATTAAGTTGCCCGAATATGTAATTTCTCTGCTAATTACATAAGAACAAATAATTTGAATCCTTTTCAATATAATTTGTATGTACAATAAAACCCAGAGCAGCCAAAATATTAAGGATTTAGAGTTCTGGTTAATTAAACCCTCTGACGTAACTTAGGGGTCACCAGAAAACACCTTATTTTATCAGCCTTGCCTGTAATTAAAAACTGTGCTACATGCCCAGATCCATGTTATGCCTTAACCAACAGGTTTTAGCCACCATAATCACAAACAATTCTGCTACCCCTGAACACCACAGTGTGCTGCACATATGTTGTTCGACGGAGGTAACACTTCTGCGCAACACTCTCCCAATCACCACATTCTTCTTAGTTACTTACTACAGTTTGGTCGATACTGTGTGAGAAGAATTTTTAAAAAGTGGTCCAAATTCATTAACTATATAACAGTACATTCCCCCATGAAAAATGGCATTATTGTTTTAACAAAATTAGGTAAGTAACATGTCGACTATGTCAATGTTATGCCCAGCAGAAAATAAGGCTCATACCCAATTTTTAAATGTGAAGCATTTTAAACTTAGAAGCACTAAAATTAAAGAAAGGGTTTCTACAGATGAAAAGGTTTCTAAGACTGGTATAGGAATGACAACTCAGACTCAGGGCAAATCAGTAAATTCAGCTTACATCAATGTTCCAAAGGAAGTCAAGGCAGAGAAATAGTTCAGAACTACTTAGAGAGATCAGGGAAGGACCGAACCACTGCACTGACAGAAACATAGTCTCTGACAAAATATACTCCTGTCCTTAATATGGATATCAATTTCATAGGGAATATACCTTGCTCTAAAAATCCTGCTCTAGAAAAATCAAATTCTGACAGTTTAAACAATAAAATTTTCTTTCATTGAGGTATCCCAAAATCGTTGGTACAACCAGGTCTGACTAATTTGTATCTGAGGAATTTTCAAAGTCAGTCCTTAAAATGAGCCAATTCCTTAAATCTCTATTCCTTGAAACCTGTGAGTTCTGACAGGCATCCTACCTTTCCACACAAGGAAGGTGGTAATCTACCAAATGCAAAAGAGTAATCGATAGCATTAAGCAATTAAAATACATGTTAAAATCCACTAGGTTTGTTTTTATGCTACTTAGTAAGCTTTCTTGCTGAGGATTTTAGTAAAGTGATTTATATTTTATTATTACTTTAAGCACATTAAAATGCCTTTGTTCACTTTATAAAACCTCTACACAAAGAAACCGCTGCACTCAGATTTGTTGCATTCAGATTTGGTGGTTAATATAATCAGGTTAATATGTTAAAAAGAACTTGACACGGAAATTATTAATGAGTAGAACAAGGTCACTACTTCTGAGCTGAGGTCACTTACAAAGAATGCACAAATGAAATTAAGGTTGACTTTATTTACTTGACTATCTTCTTACATTGGATTCCTTTGGCAACATATCTTTAAACATTTAAAGCCCTGTTTACAAGGAGGCTCTGAAAGAAGCTTCAAACCATTATGTCCCTAATTGAATTCCCCAGGAGTCCAGTAAACTCAGAGGAATAAAGAAAAATCATAACATTTGCTAAATCATCTCAAAACATATTTCACTGCAAGGTTATGTGACCTGTTTCTGAGGTTCAAAGATGAATGAGAAAATACTACTGAATGCTTCATTATTTAAACTCAAATCCAAAGGAATCTTACCTATTAGCGGTGAGCTAATTAAATCAGCCCCGTTTTAACTTTTCTTCCAGGAGAAATCAGACAATAAACAACAGTAACATTTTATAGTGTATGTGACCACTGTCCCAGAGCATGAAATCTCCCAGAGGAGGAGGAAAGGGTCTTTAACCAAAGACAATTATTCACAGTAAAGTTATAAGAGAGCGCTGACAAAAATTTGTGGTCCCCAGGGAAAGTAGCATTCTATCTGTGAATTCAGAACAAACCAGGTGGAAAAAGAGAAAGCAAAAGTTTTTAGCAACCAAAGAGTTTTTGAACGTGCCCCCCCCTTCCCAATTAACTTCCCAATTCGAATTTTACGTGAAAATCGGCTTTTATGGATCATTTTATTTGTAGCTCCTTTGTATGCGCCTGTGTTTGTTGTGACTACTAAGCAAAAACATGGGGATCTTAGCATTTCCAAAAGAATGTTAAATTCCTCTCTACTTACCTGGTTTGTATGTTATTCCAGGGGGGAAGAGGAAGCCCTGCTGGGCGGCAGCGGCAGCTGCCAGGGTCCGCTGGTCATGTGGAAAAATTGGGATCATGAGCGGAGGCATGTGACCCTGAACCTGCTAAACAGAAGAGAGCCTATGATCAGACAGAGAGCAAATGTATGCCAAGAAGTATTTGTTTTTCACTCCTGCGGCTGTGCTGGTACCCAAACAGCCACCCACTTGTGACCTCATTCCAAATCTGCTCCCTGAGAAAACGCAGGCGAAAGGTACCCAGTCGCTGTTCTTAGATCCCATTAGCACTCCAAGGACACAACCTCCTTGTGATTTTGCCTCATCACTGCCTCCACCAAATTGTGGGGAACGGTTTTCTTTTATCTTGACTCTTTTCCTTTTTCTTTCTTTCTTTTTTTTTTTTAACAAAACAACTGGTGGAAGAAATGTTTGCTTCGTACACCGTGCAATGTTGAAAGGTTTTGCCCTTTCACCTGCTTTGCATTCTGCCCTTTATTAGGAAAACAGTGTTTAGTATCCTTGGTCAGAAAATAATGTCTAATTTTGATATATTCCCAAAGCGGTATCTCCCCAGTTTAGGTGTCTTATTTCAAAGCCTTACTGCATTATGTTAAACATATAGTTCTTCAGATTTAAGGCTACTACACCTTGGCTTCCAATTAAACTAATATTCTTTGCCATACACACCTCGATGTAACATATAAATTGCTTGTCTGGCTTAGCAGTTTTACAGCTTTATGCACTACCATGTGGCTCAGTAATTATGGAGTTGTATTCAGAGAGCATTTCATAATAAATCCTACTATATCAAATTTCATTTGACCTCAATAAATGTATCAAAGAGCACAAAAATGCAAAATAGAAAATCTTCTCTCTATATCAGTATTTGTATTCTATATAAAGAAAATAAGAGCTATGACAAAATCATGCCTGTGAAATCACATTTTAATTTCCTAGCTCCCTTTTTTACTCTATGCATGCTACCCTGATTCCAGGAGAGCATCACAGGAAGGTTTTGTCCTGGCTTTTAGTGTATGAGTTTATAGGCTGAATACAGGACTTTTGTTATTTAAAGATCAAAACTAGGATGTCCTAACAGAAGTGATCTTTAAATTCAAAATGGGTCTTTGGGCTCTTTACTCATATTAAAAAAAAAAAAAAGCTGCATTATATCCTGTTGAAGATACAAACACTTACCAGTAATTCTACCAAACCCAAACCCTTCTGCTGTTTAAATTCTTAAATCTTCTCTTTAGGCAAAATTCCGGATACTGGCTGATGACCCTGTTTAAATAGCGCCAACTTGCCTTGTCCTATCCCTGGTCCCTCCACAGCCAGGGACATGGTGCAAAAATGCTTCTGTGTGGGTCTAAGAGGTTTCATTTACCAACAGTTTTTCTCTAGGGAAAGCCCTAAGATGTGGGTTAATAAAGGGCAAGCAAAAAATAAACACTTTACGGTACTTTTCTGAATTCATTTCTCAGGAAAATCAACTTATAATAAAAAGGTCTTTGTGCAATTACTACCTTGCCAGTGGGGCGTGAAAGAAACTAGCTTTGGGCAGCTATTTCTACCATTTTAGCTGAGGTAAGCCCGAGTCTTGTACATTAGAGTACAAACTTAGCCTGCGTAAATTGGAGCTGATCCCCTCGTGCCCAGGTCTTGCCTTTAACCCTGAAGAAAAGCACTAGGTTTGCTGTTCAACTCCAGCTTGCGGTGACCTGATGCAAACCTGAGATGTCAAAGATGAGGGCACTGTTCTACGTCAGAAAATAAAACAGTCTTTTTTGTAGGTGACTGTTGTTCAGTGCAAGAGTACGTCAAAGGAAATCAATTCATTTACTTCTAGAAATATGGTTCCTAGCATGTACCTAGAACAGCACAGATGCTTCGTGCTTTAAAGGAGAACAAGAAAATGAGAAGTCTAGGCATCGTATTTATTTATTCTTTCCTTCTTTTTAATGAACATTTATTAAGTTATTCTTACGTTCTTCAGAAATAGCTGAAAAAATGGGGGCTATTTAGCTTGGGAGAGAGAAGATACAAGGTTATCTTCATATGGCAAAAGAAGCCGATTAAGTCTGAGAGGTTAAAAAGGGTGGAACAAGACTCCGAAGAAAGAGATTTTAGGGAAGCTTAACTCAAAGAAGAATTTTCTAAAAATGAGTTATTCAACAAGTGCTCCGATTAAAGAGGTCATGTGTGTCATCTCCCTAGAGGTGGTCGAGTAAAGGCTGTATACATACAGTAGGGATAATTTAGAGGGTAAGCATAACTAAAACCCTGACTAGGTAATGGCCTATAGAGCCTTTTCAATTTTATGATTCTGAGTTTTTTCAAACTCAGCATTAGGAAAATAATGTGATGTAGTCATTCCTTTATTCGTTCGTTCACCACACATTTGTTCAGAATCTACTATGCCTACAAAGTCTTTGCTGTCAAACATCTCAGATCTTAAATCTATGCACTGCCATTTCCTTGGCTGTGTGATCGTGAATGGTTACTTAACCTTTCTGTAATCTGAGTCTATTTCTTCATGTAAAAGTTAACAATACTGCCTTACGTGGTTACTGTGAGGATTAAATAGACCAGAAAAGTAACACTTTTGGCACAGCGATTGGCACATAATAGGCACTTGGGAGATGTTAGGGCCTTGCTTTGTTCTTACAATAGTTGGCATATTCAATTCTAGAAAATTATCAAATTACTGAAAAGAAAAAACAAGAAATAGCGGCTCTTACCCATAACTCTACTTCAAAAAAGAAAACATGAACCAACTAAATAATTCAGTTTGACAGGCAGAGGCTTGTCATGTTCTTAGCAGACACCAGGCCTCACAGAGCATTATCCCATCCCAAGTATCTAGAAAACCATGAAAAAGAAGAGGTGGGATTACAAGGATCATGTGAAGATGGAATTTGGGAACTTTAGTGTCATTCATTAAACAGCATCTTAGGATGAAAACATAATTTTACTTCTACATTGATGCCCAAGCTCTTCAGATCATGAAACAACATAAAGGCATCAGTGGCAATTAAGCATCAGACCTTGATTCTTGAACCTTGGAATATCTGAAGATATTTCTTTCGTAACTAGCTATGTACATGAGATAACTAAGTAAACCATCTAGGGTCACTTTCAATGCCAAAGAGCTGTAGGTGTTTCATATTAACATAAGTTGTAAGAATTTAGGGAAGTTCCTGGGGCGCCTGGGTGGCTCAGTCGTTAAGCGTGTGCCTTCGGCTCAGGTCGTGATCCCGGGGTCCTGGGATCGAGCCCCACATCGGGCTCCCTGCTCTGCGGGAAGCCTGCTTCTCCCTCTTCTACTCCCCCTGTTTGTGTTTCCTCTCTTGCTGTGTCTTTCTCTGTCAAATAAATAAATAAAATCTTAAAAAAAAAAAAAAGAATTTAGGGAAGCTCCTTCCGTCCATCGCCATCTACAAAGCAGGATAGGTTAGAAACTTTCAATGCTAACTATTAATTCAGAGGCAGTTTCAATAAATTGAGGCATAAAGTAAATAAGAAGGGGGACAGAAGACATGGTGAAAGCAAAAGTGCCGATAGAACCAGAGTTGGAATAGAGCTTAGAGTTGATCTAGCCTAGTAGTTTTCAAAGTGTGGTACCTGACCAGTAACATCAGCAATGCCTGAGAATGTCATAAAAGCAAATTATAAGGCTCCACCCCAGACCTATGAATCAGAAACTCTGGGAGCGGGGTCCAACAATCTAATATTTAGACTAAAATTTAATCCAGGGCCATGATTCTCAAATTTTAGTGTGTATCCAGTTCAGCCAGAGGGCTTATTAAAACAAAGACTGGCCGGCCCTACCCCTGGAGCCTCTAAACCAGTAGATCTAGGTGGGGTCTGAGAGGGTACTTCCCTGGCAAGTACCTAGGTAAAGCAGGTGCTGCTGGTCCAGGGACCACTCTCTGAGAATCACTAATCTAATTCAAACCTCACAATTTACACATAGGGAAACAGGTGGCTAGAGAAGCTAAAAGACATGGCCTGAGATCACAGTGCCTATGACAGGGCTGGATCTGGAATCTAGAACTGCTCATCACTCTGACCAGTGCTTTTTCCACTACATCGCATGGACTTCCAGTGATAGAAAAGAGAACTCACGTGTGTATGCTCTTTGGGTAGAGAAAATCTGGAGGTCTGCAACCAAAAATGATTTTCTATTTCAGAGGTGTATTGTTGGAGTATGGATAGTATGTCATTTAGTTTCAGTTTGTTCTTTCTTCTCTCTTATTTTGTACCCAGAAAAATTTGATCACAAAACTACTGTCATTAATTCCAATAACTTATTGTAATACATTCATTAGCAGTGATCATTTAGCTCCAATTGATAAAATTGCCCTTATTTTAAGTAAAACAATGATGTGAAAAATCAAAGTGCTTCTTATTAAAGACAAGCCAAGATAGCCAGTAGCAATTAGAATCTAGGCCAAGAGAAGATGATGAAGCATTCCTCTCATACCTCTAATAACAGAAGTAATAATAGTGATGATGATGGTAATGATAATCATCTTCTTCATCACAGCCACTAATATTTTCCAGCATTTCCTATATATCAAGCACTGAGAAAGTGATTTACATGATCTATCTCATGTAATCCTCAAAACTCTGTAAGGTATTTACTATTATTCTCCTCTTTCATTTAATGAGGACAAAATCATGAGAGGCTCAGTAACTCGGCCAACTAGGAAGTGGTAGAGCCAGGATTCAAGTCCAGTTTGTCAGGCTCAAAGTCTACACTTTTAAGTGCCATATTATATTAACCATCAAGTCATCTTTTGCTAAACAGACCTAAATGAGATAAGGAATATAATTCTTTGTAAGAACAATTGACTGGAAGTTTGATAAATATAATTGTAAATTTGCATGCATTTGCAATAAATAATACAGAGAGATCCTATGAGTCCTCTCCCCCAACTGGTAATAACTTGAAAAACTGTAGTACAATATCACACCTGGGGCATTGACATTGATACAATCCAACCCCCTTATTCAGATTTCCCCAGTGTGATATTGTTTTAAAGGAATTATGTGTCTTAAAAACTCACAAGGGTAATGGAGGTCTATGAATACTTCCAACT